GTAGGTGTAGGTAATTACTTTGTAAACAGTAGTGGTGATAGGCTTCATTATAATGGCAATAGTAGTACCATTACTATGTCTGCAGACTAGGTCCACGAGAGCGTGATTATTGTCTGCGAACACATTATACTAGTGGTTATGAAAATTATTACAGGTCTATCATATGCAGGTAGGTGTAGTAATTAATTGTAGTAATTAGGTCTATCACACCCAGGTAGGTGTAGTAATTACTTTGTAGACATGTAGTGATGATAGGCCTTTATTATTATGGCAATAGTAGTACCATTACTATGTCTGCAGACTAGGTCCACGAGAGCGTGATTATTGTCTGCGAACACATTATACTAGTGGTTAAAAAATTATTACAGGTATATCATATGCAGGTAGGTGTAGTAATTACTTTGTAGACATGTAGTGGTGATAGGCCTTTTATAATGGCAATAATAGTACCATTACTATGTCTGCAGACTAGGTCCACGAGAGCGTGATTATTGTCTGCGAACACATTATACTAGTGGTTATGAAATTATTACAGGTCTATCATATGCAGGTAGGTGTAGTAATTAATTGTAGTAATTAGGTCTATCACACCCAGGTAGGTGTAGTAATTACTTTGTAGACATGTACGGATGATAGGCCTTCATTGTAATGGCAATAGTGGTACCATTACTATGTCTGCAGACTAGGTCCACGAGAGCGTGATTATTGTCTGCGAACACATTATACTAGTGGTTATGAAATTATTACAGGTCTATCACATCCAGGTAGGTGTAGTAATTACTTTGTAGACATGTAGTGGTGGTAGGCCTTCATTATAATGGGAATAGTGGTACCATTACTATGTCTGCAGACCAGCTCCACGAGAGTGTGATTGTTGTCTGCGAACACATTATACCAGTGATAATGAAATTATTACAGGTCTATCACATCCAGGTAGGTGTAGTAATTAATTGTAGTAATTAGGTCTATCACACCCAGGTAGGTGTAGTAATTACTTTGTAGACATGTAGTGATGATAGGCCTTCATTATAATGGCAATAGTAGTACCATTACTATGTCTGCAGATTAGGTCCACGAGAGCGTGATTATTGTCTGCGAACACATTATACTAGTGGTAATGAAATTATTACAGGTCTATCA